CAAAAATAATAAGGGAGCGTGCTTAAGTTCTCTGAACTGATGTGAGTTCTCGGTGCTAGGTAGAACAGTCTAATGCTGATCTGGCTGCCGGACATTGAAGAATTGAAAAGAACGAGAAGGCTGATATGCTGGCTCGTAGAGAGGTAGCGACTCTATTTGCTGGGTCAAAGCCTTGATTTGGTACCATGAAAGACGGTCGTCTGGACCTTTAATGGCTGGATTAGCGGAACTAGAAATAACTGGTAGATTTGGTTCCCAGAAATTGCACATTGCAAGAAATTTGTGTGTCTCCAGTGAGCGGTGGAGAAAACTGATCTCATAGAGCCGTCCAGATTTGAGGTTGGTGGTGGCTGAGCTCACCGGATATTGTCTCACATTGGTTCATTTGAAGGAGGAATAAACGGCAGAGAATGTGCTATGTGAATGTGAGACTGTAACCCAGTTGAGGCTCAAGTGTTTCGGATGGGACTTTGTGAACCATTCCGAGGTCTCACGTCTCCAACTGGACGTAATAATAAGACTCGTCCTTGGCTTAGAAATAGTGTTCATGTAACTTAATCGTGAATCAGAAAAGATCTAATGGTCACTGCAGAGCAAAGTGATATCTCAGAAAATTGTCGCGTTTGAACATTTATCGGGGATGTTAGGAGGTGTTGTCTAGTTAGACAGCGAAGTATATCCTTTAACACTGCATTGCTAACTCGTTACAAAATTTACAATGGGGTTTTTTATATTTTTAATCTTGTACAAGGAAATAATTAATGTGACATTTTATATTTTTGCAAACATTTTTGTAAACAAACTTTTTAGGAAGGTTGGATGTGATCAAGTGAAACTCTACAAAGGTTTTTTATTATACTTCTGGAGGTAAATTAACTGGAGCCAAAATAATTTTATTTAAATATTAAATAAATGTGCCTTTATAAGGCACTTTTATAATTTGAATATCCTTCCAATTTAACTTATTAGAATAGATTTATGGCAATTTGGTGATACCAAATAAAAAATACATGTACGATACGATACGATCGGTTATGTTCTGACCACATCAAATTATTTTCTACTTCTCTTCTTGCAGTCAAAAACTTCAATTCTCTATTTTTCTTCTTCTCCTTAAAGAAAAATTAGTTTTTTTTTCTGTTTTTTTATTATGGTACTTTTTATTATTAAAATCCCAACTTAAGAAAATGTACTTGCAAAGATTTCAATCCATTTTTATAAAGTAAATTAACGATAACCTTCTGTGATTCTTCAATTTAATTGATATGCTCGATTTCACACCTTGTTTCTAATGAATATCTTCTAATACGTAGATTAGATACGATAATAAATTTTGGAATATGTGTGTACTGTGTGTGTTTATTCGTTTTAATAATGAAAAGAAGAATTCATTAAAATTTTTATTAATTGTAACGTAAAATAAATTGCCTCAAATGTTATATAAGGCTTTCAAATATTTTAAAAAACAAAAAATTGAAATTTAGGTTTTAGGAGTAAGAAAAATATTGGAAAATGTTTTAGGGTTGTATTTTTAAGTTTATAATATTAAATTTCATTAATAGTTAATCATTACTACAATTCAGCCGTGAATAGCGGGGATATCGAGGATAGAAAATAATGATTATGCCGAATAGCCGGGCAGCTATCATGAATTTATTTTCAGTATTCTCTGCAGTAGAGTATGTGTGCGTCGAAAGGCATGGCGCAGCTGTCGCACTTGTGCGGGACTCAGAGGTGTATTAGTCTCCCTTTTTACACTGGAGCGGTTCTGCGGAATTGGATCACACGCTGTTCATTGAAAACTAAAAAAGGAATCAAAGAAGAGGCGGTCGGACCGCTTTCCGGAACTTCTGCAGGCTAAGGATCTTCTGGGAGATTATGACCAGAAACAATTCAAAAGGATTATAAAAGAAATATATAAATAAGGAGAGAATACGCACCGAAATTTTGTCAGGTCACTGTAAATTTAGAATTCACCTCTGTAGGCTTGGACTGGAAACTAACACTTACAGATTTTGATTTACAAATGTTCTTATTTTTAAGATAAATTCGAGGCATAAAATATAAACTCGATATTTTAATTGTCAGACGAACTTACAACAATGTTAGTACATTTACTATCTTTTAACATTTAAATAGCACTTCAATAACATTTATTTAATGTTAAATATTTTGTCATTAATTTTTCATGGAATTAAAAATATAATTTATAGAAATGATGAACTCTTGAATAGAGACCTCGTTGAGATCAAATTATAAAAATTATAACACCTACTGTTTCTCTTTATAAATTTTTAGAATTTTAAATATTTGCTTGTATGTGTGCGCGTATAATATTTGTCTAGAAAGTATTAAAAATTTACCCACAATTATGTTTAGAAATTTCAGACTTTTGCGATTAACACTTTAATTTGAATACGACCATCAAGTGCCTTAAATTTGTTATGGAATTTGTGAGTTGATTCGTTTGCACTCTCTGTATAACTTTCTTTAATTTACTTTCATTTATGTTTTATTTTTACAGTGTCATTGTATTTTATGCAATAATTTTATTAATTCGTGATCATTATGATCCCATTTAAAATCAAATATCTTATTAATAATAAGAGCCTGAGATAGGTATTTAAACCTATCAAGTATAATGATTTGAAGAAAATTTGTTAAAAAGCAAAAGTTTTCAATAAAATTTAATTGAAAAGTGACATGAAATTCTTATTTTTGTATACGAGTTATTGTTGGATGACATAATTAATTTCGTGAAAAATCTTCAACAAAAGATACACATAGATAATAAAAAGTTAAATGAGGTTTTTCGTCATTTAAAATTTATTGAAATACTGAATATTTCTAAGAATATTGCTAAATGGCAAAATATAATTGCACAACCATTACTATTTTTGACGTCAAGGCACAAATTATTACTAGCGACCGCTTCTGAAAGAAGACATTCCACGAATTCTGCTTCGGGAGACTGATATTCACCATTTCTACCACAGTACTTTGTTGGTGACGAGTGTCTTAATCTGTACTCAACACTTAAAACTTTTATTGAAGAATTCAAGTGATTGTTAAACAGCCTTAAATTACACGGGTTTAGACGCAAAATTTTTAGATTCAGCTAAAGCAAACTCAGTCTCATTTAATGATATGGCTAAATAGTATGACTTGTTCAATTCAATGTTTATCAAATCATTGGAAAAACTGAACATTACGCCAAAACGAAATCTTGACGCAGATGATATCATATCGACACTCGACCAAAAAATCATTCGAGAAAATGACTAGTGACGCATTGTCAATCGAAAATAAAAGCAAATGTGTGAATAATTAACTAGCAGTTAATGTTTATGTTACAGTTAAGTGACTTTACCTCACTGGGTGATAATTGGTTTGACGGTAGCTTGAACTATTAAATTATATATTGGACGTGTGAACTCCATCAGATTTACCAATCACTTTCAACTCCTTTGTTTAGAGTTCGGCTTCAGTAATTTCTAAGTTCAGTTATTTCTTTGACGCTTGGGCTCAGCTTCGACCAGGCGGTTATTTAATAATTTATCAGTAAAATACAATCTTCAACTATGGGAGATGTTCCATTTTCTGGTTCCAGCCAACAAAAAAAGCCAATTTGACAATGTGCTTAGTGTTAAAATTAATTCAATTTGCAATTCTTAATTATAGTATTGCAATATTTAATTTGGTTCAGACAAATTGTAAGATTTTTAGAATTTTAGATATTTTTCCGGGATTTGGTAATACAGAAAGATTTCGCGCGATTGAATGGGGTGTTTTAAATAAATCAAAATTTTAATTATAAAGATGCCTTTAGTACAGAGACCTTAGAGGTAGTATAGGAATAATAGGAGAAAATATGGGAGTAATGTGAATTACAAAATTTTTTTTTTTAAAGAACTTATTCTTTATTTGCCTTACATAATGATTTTTTTTTTTGTTTTAATTTAATATTAGTTTTTACATATATATAATTTTTTTTTTTATTTTTTTTTATATTGCTATTTTTTTTACATATAAACATATTTAAGTAGCGTTATCACATATATATAAGAGATTATGCTTTTAGAATTAGAATTTTTTTTTTTATAAAATTACAACGAAATTTTTTTTAGTGTAGAATTAGATTTTATGTAGAAAGTCACAGCTATAGCTTTTGTAGAAGCAATTTTATTTTGTTATGCAATGAAAAATTTATTTTTCGAATGTAATTTAGAATTTGTTAGTATTTTGTTATTATATTATTTAGTATGTATGTATGAAAATTATTAATTATTGGTTAGTGAAATTGAAAATTTAATAATTTTTTTTTTGTGTTTTTTTTTAATTTATTTTTTTAATACAATTATGAATTTTTAATAATTTTCCTCTTCATTTTATTTAATTTTTTTATATTTTGAGTATTTCATATGTAGTCCAATATAAAATGTTTTTTTTTTTGTTTTTGTTTTGTATACAAAATATTCTATGTAATATATAATGTTTACATAATAATATCCTTAAGATGAATTTGCTCTCATTTTGTTTTTATTTTCGAATTAAACTAAGAAGTTTTTAAACATTTATTCGTCATGTTATTGTTGTTATTATTATTATTTATTTTTTTGTTACCATTACTATACATATGTCAATTAAATTTTCAATATTATATAACAAAAAAAAATTAAAAAAACCATCATTAATATTTAAGATTAAGTATTTGTAATTCTATTCATTTTAATTTAATAATTTCATTAAAAACAAAAAAAAAAAAAATTTAATTATTTTGTTATATGTAAATATATATGCGTTTATGTATTAAATTATATATAACATGCGTGTGTGTGTATATGTGATTTTTGTAAATTAATATTCAGCGTTTCATTATATAATTTTATTTTGTTCCAGTTTTTTTTTTCATTTTTTCATTTTATTTGCATAAATTCTTTTCTCTGTGTTGATTTTTACGTATATATGTACATAATATATATTTTTTTATTTTTTTCCAATTTAACGACGACGACGCTGTGGTGGTAAACTTAATAAATAATCTAAAGCTTTTTGTATTGCTGGTGGTACTGGTGGTGGTGTTGGTAAATGATCACCTTGTGGTACAAAACCATTTTCATCATCAGCTGAATATTGTAATGATATTAATGTGCCATCTGGTGCTGTATAACTAACTGAACCTTGTGATATAATAACATCAGATGTATCTGGTGATGAAGCTTTTTTTAATGTACCAGTTTCTTCACCTTTAATACCATTATCAGTTTCATAACTGTAAAATAAAATGAATGAAAAAAAAAAATAATGAATGACAATTTGTATTTTTAATACATGAGAATTGAGAATAAATTGTTATTGTGAGAAAAGAAAATTATTTTGAGAGAATAATAATTGTTTGTCGCCTAAATATATGCAATAATATTTACCTATATTGATATGATCCATCTGGTTCAATATTTGAATCTTGACTAATTATTTGTGCATCTTTATCAGATTTTTGTGGTGCTGCAATTGTTACAGCAACAAAAATTGTAATAAGAAGAATTTCCTTAAAATAGAAAAAAGTGAATTAATTTTGAACAGAAAATTTTAATTATAATATTTAAATTAATATTTGTTATATAATTGTTATTGAAAATAAATAGAAGCCAAGGGGCTCCTCGGAGATTATGACAAGAAGTGATTTAAGAAAATTATAGGGATCGGCAAGAACCAGGTGAGAGTCCTCACCGGCATTTTGACGGGTCACTGCAGGCTTAGGGGACACCTCAGTCGATTGGGCCTGGAAAATGAGGATACTTTCAGATTCTGTGGGGAGTATGGAGAGACCTCGGTGCACCTCCTGGGGGAGTGTGATGCTATTGTTCGTAGGAGGGGGGAGATGCTGGAAGGCTTTGCTCTAACGGTAGCGGAGTTACGGTCTTCTGGTCCTCACAAGTTGCTTGTGTTCATCAGGAGGGTGGGTCTCGAGCGTGTATTGTAGGGCATACCCCGCACTCGAATGGAGGTGCACAATCCTTAGATCCTTATACGCGGTCGCGGTGCACTGTTGCCCCCGTTGTACAAATCTACAATCTACAATTAATTAATTAATTAATCATCTTAAATTTACAGCGTTACATTAGATGCTTTTGCTTGTAGCTACACAATTTCTTAACTTCTTATTTTTAATAATATTTTTGCCTTTATCTTACGAAAGTATGAATTTGAACTTTAAATTTGTTTTTCCTGTTTAAGAAATATATTTTTAATGAATTTTTTTTTTATTTTTTTTTTATAATAATTACGAGTGTGTAAAAATAAAAGATTTACAGTTAAATTTCCGTATTTATATTCCGTAAAAAAAAAAAATGAAGGTCACCGCATCATTTAACTCTAGCGTTATTCTATTCAAAATACTCAAAAATTACAAAATATGTGCAATTTGTTATATGTGATTTTTTTTTCTGTACATAAATTAAAATACACTGATAGACATAAAAAATTCCAAAATTTTTACAATTTACTTAAAGAATGCAAACTATTATTAAAATTATATTAATTACTTAAGTAAATACAGGGTGCTCTACCAATAATATTATTGTTTGAAATGTAAAAAATTTTCGCTTAAAATTATAGGTGCAAAATTACGAAGCAAAATTTTCCTGATTGCTCAAAAAACAATTTTCTTTTTTGCTCTTAATTAGCTTCCATCCCAAGATAGTTAGGAATTTTAAATTAAAAATTTCAGAAATAGCTTAAAATTAATAGAATTGTTAAATATTATTAGAAAATTGTTTTAAATAATTGCATACCTTATAAAGCACTTATTATTTAATCACTTAATTATTATGTTATCACTTTATACACTATATACGAGTACATTGCTATTATGTTTCGAATACTAGCATATATGAAACACTATGTTCTATATAGCATTTATTTAATGCTACAATATTAACAAGTAATTGCTATAGTATATTATACAGGCATAGAATTAATGTAGACTTGCATCATGCACAATAGCATTAATAGCATGGTGTTTTATTCTGTAATATTTTTTTTATTTTACAAACAATCTTATTGTATAAATATTACATATTTAAATATATTATATATTTAAATATAATATTATATTCAAAAGACAAATCTTAACATTTTGTAATAGAATTCAATTTTGTTATACACAATAGTAAAACAAGAAAAATTTTTAATATAGTGATTAGCAAGTCACACATTAATTAATATGTAATTAGTATATATTACAACTGGCATACATAATTATACACTAAACTAATAATATGTATATGTTATAATGAGGTAGATATATATACATACTATATATATGTATTTCGAAATTTATTTGAAAATTCTGATTTTATATTATAAAAGGGCAATTTAAATAAATAAATAAAAAAGCAGAAAAAGCAGAAAACGAGAAGATTACAAAATATTTTCTATGTCCAAAGTAAATTAAAATTTATGGGAAGCTTCCAATATTGAGTGTAATGATGATGCTTGAGTACAAATATTTTACTTGGCATTTATTGATTTTTTTTTTAATTCTTCAATACATTTACGGTTGAACCTTAATTTATTTTTTCTCAAATATATAAAAATTTCCAAAATCTTTGATGCAAGTTATGTCGCATTCATGCATTTAAGTATTTTCTTAACTAATAAAGTTATTACTGTTACAAAATTCATAGAAATAGAAAAAAAAAAAAAAAATTTTTTTTCTATTTAATTTATTTTTTATGGATGTTATGTAATTAAATATTATTTAGTGTGTATGCATGTGTGTAAAATAATTAAAAAAATGGTGTAAATATTAAATAAATAATTTTATTGTGACATTTATGACATTTTTCAAAAAAAAGAAAATGTTAAGTATTTATAAAATAAGTAAATATGAATTACGGCTCAATAAATAATAGCCATATTTAGCTATTTTATAGGTTAAATCGAATCTAATGCGGTTTAATTGAATTCCATACCGACAAAATTTAAAGCAGACGATTGCCAGAACTTAATTATATTTTTTATTATTGAAATTTATGGGGAAAATTTAGAGAAAACCGTTTCAATATAGAAACGTACATCTGCTTTTCATATGTTTTTTTTTTTTGTACTAAAATTTGAAATAAGAAATTCAATCTTTTCTTTTTGCATTTTGTAAATATAATTATCAATAGCTATTGCTAACTTATTGCACATATTGTCGTGATTTAAAAAAAATGAAAGTTGCTATACTTATTTTGAATCGTTAAATTTTTCAAATTTTTACAAACCTCTACACAGGATTACTCTAAAAAACTTGTTCAAAATTTTATGATAATCGGATAAGCAATTTTTATCAGATAAGAAGGGGTTACGAGTTTTGTTTTATAAATATTTGAATTGCCCTCAAAATTTAAGAGTTTTGAAAGCATTTCGATTATTTATACTGTTTAATAAGAGTGTGTGAAACTCTATACCATACATATAATTTTAACAACTCGTTTCCTATACAGAATTTTCTTCTTTTTCTCTCTATGAATTTATATATAAGTCGAGTGTATGTGTCGAGAAATGTAATTGATTTCTCATTCTTGTTACCATTCAATGTATACGATTTCAGAAATTTTAAATAAAAGTGAAATATAATAGAATTTTAAATAAAATTTTAAATAATTTAATTTTCATTTCAATTCCTATTTTCTAAAATTATGCTTTATACCCCTAAAAATATGCAAAAATTTCGTTATCCAAACAAAAGACTAAGGCGGGAAACTTTATTTTTTAATTTTTAATAAAATGTCGTAATTTGATAATTTCATTTTTATTTCTAAAATTTTCTCTATCTAACATAAGCTGCTGATATAGTGAAATTACTAAATTATTTTTTATAATATATATATATATATATACATGTATATAAATAAAACTAATTACTTTCGTGGTATTTTTAATTAGTTTTCTTAAACGATTCGTTTCATTCAAAATGAAGATAATCAATTTATGAACCACAAAAAATTAATTTAGATTATGTGGTTAAAATATGGCTATAAAATTATTTACTCCTCTAAATTTTCTTATTTCGTGAAATTTTTACTTTTAAACTCATTTTCATTCATTTAAATTGCAAAATGTATTTGAAAGTAGTATAATGAATTTTATTTTTTTGCTAACGTCTTCATAATTAAATGAAAATAAATTAATTATTAATTTCTAGTAAATATCTACTTAAAATATTTTGTGGTTGCAGTAAATCTAAAAAAAAATTATTTAGTAATTTTATATAAGTGGAATTTCTATTACAATTTTATAATTCTTCTTGTGATATTAGAGCTGAAATTTTTTATTAGAACTAAGAATAATTTGAAAAACAACAAATCAAAGGAGATTATCAATTCTAATTAATTACGTTCAATATTTAATTTCTATAGTAGAATTATTAAATAATAAAATTAAATTATTAAGATGCTTGCAATTTAATTCTTTCAATAATATTTCGAATATATGAGATGTAAAATGTAAAACTAGTCATGTAAAACAATTTATAGTTGCTTAAAGATAAAAAAATATAGACGTAAAAACTATAAAAGCTTCATACTTTCTATATATGTATATACAATATTAATTAATTTTTAACTTGAGTGAATTAATAATTTTAAATCGTGCAATTCAAGTTATATTTTGTACACTTGATTGAAGTGTTTATTAAATAAAATACGAGGGTGATTTAAATTTAATATTATGTTTGAATTTTAACACGTTGTTTAAATTGCTATACAATATGTACATATGTAATTTTAAGAATAAATAAATATATAATTATTTTTAGATGTTTGTGAATTCGAAAATATGTGACGTGGAAATTGTCTTTGTAAAAATTTATTCACAATATAGTTATTGAATTTAATTCAAGAATATTTATTGAGAACTAGATTCTTTTTAATATTCACAATTCACAAATAATGAAAATTTTGAGAGTGATAAAAATTATTTAATTTTGCAAAATTAAAATATCAAAAATTTGAAGTTCTTAAAGATTTCCATTTAAAATTTGGATAGTCAAAAATACTGTTGGGGGGAAAAATTTATTTTTAGGTTCCATGTTGGACCTAAGGCATTTGAAATGGTTAATAAATGAGAAAGGAAAATAAGAATTTTATATTTTCAAAAAAGAAATATGAAATTTTAATTTGTTAATTCAGTAAAGGAGTAAACACCGATAGAGCAGTTTTATAACAAATTCAAAAAATTTTTCTATAAGAGCACCAATGCAAAAATTCGAATTTAATTATTAAAATTTTAAAAATTTGGAATTTATTCAATGATATTTTGATGAAAAATCTAGGCGTTTGTATATTTTGATTTATCTCCACTTCTTATTAATTTTAAATTATCGCAATTAAATTGAAAATTTATTCAATGAATCTTACAATGTACCAGCAGTTTAGGAAATAGATTCTGATATATAGTGTAAAATATATGTGATTGTTCTCAGTTTCTAGTTTAATTATTTAATCAACATAGCAATTTTGAAATTATTGTAGTTTCATTAAATTTATAATTTTGTTTTGAGCATACTATTGTGAGAAATTTTATAGAATTTATACTTCTAAACATGTACTTTCGGAATTAATTGGAAAACTTTTTAAAATTGTATTATTCAGAAATGGAATTTTAATTTATATGAAGAAAATCCAAATCGTAATTAAGCAGCCCTTCATCTCATGCTCAGAAATTATAACCAAATTTTATACGTATATGCCCATAGCAAACTGTTTGAATTATTCTAATGATTTAAATTTTCACTAAATAAATTATTATGGAGCGTCTATCACATTGTACAATAGTTTCCTCAAATTAAAACCAAACATATTTTTAATATTATCCTTTGAATCCTTATTGTTTAATCTTTATTTTCATTTTTGTTCACTCTCAATAATTATTCCAATAATATTTTTCAATTATTTTCTAATTCATATTTTATTTATATACGGTCTATAGATTTTTAAAAACAACTTACAATTTTCATATTTCACTTTATTCGATTATTCGTTTCGGCCCTTATTATGAAATTTAAATAATCCACTTGTTAAGCGAAAAGCCGAAAATTTTTATTTTCTCTTTTATTGTTCTTTAATTTTGTTTTCTTTTCTATTAAAATCCTTTTTAATTATTTTTTTATTTATCACGAATAAAAAATATAAAAAAAAAAAAATTTAATTTAATTTTTTTTTTTTTTTCACCGATTAAAATGAATTTTAACAATTGAATCGATTTAATGACAGTTAGAGCCGGGATTCACTACTATTTATATGAATTCGATTTGACACCCCAGAAGATTTTCTAGTACACAAAAACTAATATAAAAATATTCTGGTATATGTTCGTATATAAGTACATACTTTAATATTATTAATATTAACAAGCAAATTTAATGCATATATGTGCAATATGTGTAGTGTGTTTGTTTGTATATCTTAATAAATATTATACTAGTTAAAAGCTAAAATAGTATGTACACTTAAAAGTGATGATCTTCTATACTTTTTTTTTGCTATTTGTTTTGTAGTTTTTCTTCTTCTTATTATTCTTTATTGAATTAAGGTTTTCTGTATACTAAAATTGCAAAAAAAAAAGAGTAGCTTTTAGTAGGTATGTTTGTATATTTTATTTATATTCTTCTATATACAGAGTACCTCGGAGTGATATAATTTTAGAGTACAGAAAATGGAACATTTCTACTCCCTCCCGTTATAATATTTCCGTTTTCCTGCGACTGAGGTTCCCGCAATCTCTCCGAAGATGTACTGAGGTCTCTTCATCTTCTACACAAGATCTGGAAGTGCTCTACTTTTTCCCTGTCTTGTCTACTAAGGTGACCCCCAACAATTGCGGAATGTTTCGTCAATATACCGGTTATAGCTCTCACGTGCTTCCTACTTAACCCTATAATCTCTTTAAACGCCCCTGATCGAATTCTCCCATAAGCTCTACGGATCTGTTGAAGCTGCGGAAGATTCTTCTAGTCCTCCAAATTCCCTCTCTCCACTTCCGTTCTTAGTTCTCCACGAGCCTTATGTTGCCCAATTTCGCAGAAGGGCTCCGGGTCAAGAAGAGTTGTTCTAACCTACTTCCTCGCCAACGCGTCGGCATCTTCATATCTTTTCACGCCCATATGTCCTGGCATCCAGCCCAGTGTGTTGCATCTACCCGATTCGTTGAGCTTCTCAAGAGAGCCCTAAACTTCCAACTTTTGATACTCACTTCGAAACAAAAGTTTTATCCAGTTTTGATCCCCTAAGCTATTTTATGTAAATGTATTTTTGCATACTTCTCTTAGTCACTCTGTATATGTACAGGTTCATATATTTGTATATTCCTATAGATCAAAAGGTGTACGAACAAGAAGAATACACGGTTAAATAATGCAAAAATTAAATATAAAAAAAAAAACTGAGAGAAAATATTTATGTTAAAATGAGATGCAAGATGCATCTAACTGCATTATAAAACAATTTTTTTTTTCTGTTTTATTATTTTTGTTTTTGATTTTTTTGAAGAATCTAGCATATAAAACACTTTTTCTTTCTATACAATAGTTGGTATGTTGAGCACTTAGACTGATTTCTGTACATACAAAATGTACATATGTAAGTATGTGTATAATCACTCCTATGCTATAGAAAAATGATAAAAAGTTGGTCTGCGGTTGAAAAATAGCAAAAAAAAAACACCAAAAAATAAAAATATCAATGTTGTTTTCCTTTTATGCTTCGAAATATTTGGCTGGCCCAGGTTATACATTTTTTGAAGTTTTTTTACATTTTTATGCACACACATACATAAATACTTTATGTAGGTGAGTAAAAATAGTGGATAATCTTGAATTTCTATGATCAACTATTTGGAAGATTACAATTATATCAGAAGTGGATTTGATTGGTTTAAGAAGCTGAAACTTTTGGTGTTTTTGTAAATTCTAATTTAAAATTATTAGTACCTAAAAATTGGTACCAATAAAGGAGTTATTGATATATTCAAAACACTTAGAAGTTAAATACTATAATATTAATCTGTCTCCCAGAAGGGCCATGGAGCTGTTAGAGTCTAAGAGAGGAGAGGCTAGGCTGGTGGTGAGCCTCCTCACTGGGCACTGCAGGCTTGGTTATCATTTTCAAAAATTGGAACAACCTGATGAAGATAAGACGGCTGAGGTTATTATCTGCTTTTGTGAAGCACTGGGTAGGGGGCGATTGGTTCACTTGGGCGAATATGTGGTGGCACTTTCGAACTTATGGGATGTGGCGCTTGGGCGAATCTGTAATTTTGCCAATATAATCAATATTTAGTGATCTGGTCTGAGGTTGACCCCTGCCAATCTGTAGTCTAATTAAATCTACCACAGCATTAAATATTATGATACAATAATGTTAGAGAAACTGCTGCCATATTTGTATGAATGAAACATTTATTAAATTTATTGAGCAGAAATGCAATACAAGAGAAAATTTTTCGTTTATAAGAAAAAATTTAACTAAATTAACTAAAAGAGAAAATATTAATTAACGCCGTACTCGAAAATTTCCTCTTGTATTGCCTTTATTTAATTAATTTCATATTTTTCGTATTATTCATAATTAATTTCAATCGGAATAGCGTTCACATATCAAACATTGCCATAAAACTTTTCATTTAATATTTTATAATGTGAGAACATTGAAATTGTGTGACTATTCTTGTATTGAGAATTGAGAAGAAAACGTTGACAAATCTATATACGTCAAACAATATCGAGCAATATCAAGAAAAATTGAACCAAAACAATTGACGGCGCTTGATGTCGGCTTGATGTTGTGACAATAATTTCTGGTGGCACACTGGAACAGTATTTTGTTATGAATATTTTAAAATTACAAAAATTAAAATCAAATTACGCTCTCTTCGAATTTTATGCTTCGAATGTTGAATGAAAATTTTAAGATTTTTGAAACATTTGTCATTTTATTGAAATGCCCTTTTCCATTATTGATTTCTTTTATAGATTTGGGTAATTTGGCTATAACATATTAAATAAAAGAAGCTGTTTAATCAGTTTTTTTTGGATTTAGAGGACTAACATCGAAATTTTTTTTCGTTCTTCTGTTTTTTTTTAAGTTTTTCATTTGAAAAGATACAGTTTGTTTTTTTTTGTATTATTATTATTTTTTTATAACCATCATCTTCTTTATTGCAAATAGATTGAAGAATCACAATAAAAAAACTAGATGTAGAGACGAAAACAAAAAAAAAATGGGAGTTGCAATAGATCAAATTGTTGAGATATAAATTATTCTTGAATAAATTATTGTACTTTTGATAATAAGTTTTTAAAAGTGTAATTTTAATTAGTACCACTTCGAGGTACATACTTGAATAAAATTTAAATCTTTATGCTATTATTTATTATGTAGATGTGTCGGCTGTCGGGGTGTAATAAAGGTGTATTTTCAAATTAATGATTAAGAAGGTAATTTAATGGTAATGATGTTGACTTAAATTTCTATATAATTTACATGTTTGTATATATATACATATAATTGAGTTATAATAATAATAATATGTATACATAGAGTTTTGCTCTATTTGATCTATAAATTAAAAGTGAATATATTAGATTGGTAACTATGTATGTGATGTGTTGGCAACATTTTTACAATGCATTTTAAGATTTTATTGTTAAAAAAATTTTTTATTATATTTTAACTGCTATTGAATTTCTATTGTAATGAAAGAAATATAAGAAATAGTTCCGCTCATGTTGAATAGATTTTGATAGATTTTTTTTTTTTTATGTATAGATTATGAAATTTTTTGATTTAAAAATCTATTTCAAATTTGTGGTTTATTTAGAAAAATTTTGAAATTATATGAATTTTTTTTTCCAATATTTTCCGTGAAGAATTCTGTTTTTTCATGGCCTTAATGTGTTAAATGGAAAAATAGTTCCGTATTTAAGAGTTTTATATTTTTTATAAAGATTTTTAATTTTAATGTACGAGTATAATAAAAAAAAATATTTTCTTTTCATTCGATAAATTGAAAAATAATTGATTTAATGCCAAAAAAATAAAATTTGTTCCATTTATAGGAATTTGGGGGGATCCAGAAAAAATATTTCTACAAAAGATGCGATTCAGCAAAAGTAGGCAGATTGTATGTGAGCAGATGCCTGTGATTTATATTTCACATGTCTTATATTTTGGTAGGCCGGTAATCAATGTGGGAGTCAACTGCTCGCGGCTTAATGAATTAATTTTTAAGTTAATCATAGGGAGGTTTGAACAGTATCCGATTTTTTCTAGTGAATGTACATTAAAAATTTACTTTCTTATTGTAACAGGTAAAGGACAGATTATTGAAGCAAGTGTTCAGATTAGTCAAGATTAGAAGATTAGTCAAGCAAGTGGACAAATTATTAATATTATTCTGCCAGTGCTTATGCTTGTAAAAGAGTAAGTAAATTGATATTACACAAGCAACAAAAAATTTTAACATAATCTCGCATTCTCTTCAAGTTATGGTCTCTAAAAATACCAGTTTTTGACAACTTGTTTTACTGAAAAAATTTATGAAAAAATGTCAAGATGCCAAATTTTTCCTAATAACTACTCTTATTTTTAGCTGTAACAAGTAAACTCAAGATAGTTGTATGGTCGGCCTTTAGTGATTCTTACTGTTGGCAGTTTAATGTTATACACCACATAGGGGTGTTGAATTTTTAATTTAACTTAATTTTTCACCTCACCAATTGGTTATAGGTATAAGATATTCAAATTTTAAATTGATATTATGAGTATTGCAATTAAATTCTTTTTTAATAAAATTCTTAATGTTATTTCTAATTACCATTAATTTTTTTTTCTTTGAATTTTTAAGACATTATAATTTAATAGTTTTTATAGACCCTATTAAATATAAAAATTAATATTGAATAAGGTAAATTTTTTTTTCTGTACAATTGTACCTATTTTAAAACTTGTGGATTTTGTAAATGATTTCTTAAATAAATTTATATGATAATTACCCTTATAATATTATAAGGTATAAAAAGATATGTATATGCATAACTTACCGTTAGAAATTAATTATATTTGCATAATGTATGTTGATTGCATATGTCACATCTATTCAAAGCTAACAATAATTTACACATTTTATTTAATATACAATGTTT